TCTCTCTCTCTCTCTGTCTCCCTTTCCAAATTCCGCCATGCTCTGTGGTGTCGCATCTCGGTCGCTCTGGCTCTCTCCCTCTTCTTTCCATGGGCTATGGGCGAAAGGAGCAAGGGATGACTTTGCTCGGACCTGTCTGCTCCGAAAGCGTTAGCCTGCTCGGGAAAATTCACTGCTGCCCCACTCTCTCTCTCTCTCTCNNNNTCTCGCTCTCTCTCTCCCTCTCTCTGCTCTCTCGACCTCCGTTAACATTCACGATCCACAAGCCTTCAACAGTCCGGGGCCATTTGAAGGTGCAGGGCAGCTCAGGTCTTCAGAAGTAGTCCCGCGCAGCTTAACTTGGCAATGACCAATCACTCGGTGGGCAGAGACGGCCGGTTGTAAGAGGGGAACGTCGACTCAAGAGATAGCTAGGCAGCTAGGCTAGGTGCAGTAACAATGTATGTACCTTTTGCTGAAACCATACCCATCTTCAGAGCCTCGTGGTGCTCCACGAGTTCAGCAGCTTTGTCTAGGCATCCCGAAGGTCGAAGATATGGTTTATCAAGGAGGAGAAGGCAATCGCACCGTGCCTGCGGCAAGAAGTTGAAAATTGGCGCCAAGTCTGTGCCAGAGGAGCAAGTCTTCAGGACCTGCATAGCCCGTCAGGAGTTTAGGCTTTGAGGGCCGTTACCATTAGAATAGGGTTTTGGGGTATGTTATACTAGATTTACAACTAGGAACCCAAAACAGTAGCGGTAGAAGATTGTCCTAGAATTAAAAAAAAAGAGCCCAAAAATAGTAGCGGTAGTTACTGAGGCCCTTATATTACCGCACTTTCGGGGCCCGGCTCGAGGTCGCGACTTCCGCAGCTGGGGCTCTGGAAGAAGTTGACCCGAAGGTGTCGGATCGAAAGCCAAACTCGAATGAGGGCATTAGGGCTTAGGGACGATAATTACGGAGTGTTCTTACGATTGCCACATAGTGTCTTACGATTGTCACATAGTGCATTGTAGCGCCCAGCCAAAACAGGTATCGAAGCGCAATAACCATGGGCCATGGGGAATGAGTACAACAGGTGAACCCAGGGCCCCACGACGACACTGCTGCAATTTTTACGATATGGGAGTCAAAAATGCAGTCGATTGGGGCATGGGAAGACTACGCTGCACGAGCATAATTAATGCTTGTTGTGACTGCCAAAAAACCCGAACAATAACCAATCATGAATCATGGACAACAACCGATATGCACAGTCAGGAAGAGATTTTCAGAGTGAAATAAAAGCTTGAGGAGCATATTGTACGTCACATCCATAGTGCCATCCGAGTCGCTGCAAAGCGAGAAAACCCACACATGCATCAAATTGCAGCAGCAGCAGCCGGAGTGCAAACAAACAAAACACTGATAGAACCATCGTTGGTTTTAGCAACAACTGGACCACAAGAGCGGCTTTCATCAACGAGTACTCAGAGCGGTAACGGCACTGCTGTAGCAACAGGATATATTACACAAAATCTTCTTACATTGCATGTTTACAACTATCTGTCGTCGTCCACCAGCATCCTCATCATCATCACCCCGATCACTGCCCGAGTCCGACAAAGAAACCCGACAAGATGTCTGGTTGTACAGCATGGAGCATAGGCACAATCACCGGTATACCCGAAAAGAAAGAGAGTTGGAATACACTGGAAGGAGGGGGGACCGCGACAGAGACATGCACGTTGCAGGGGCAGGTCCATCTCTCTAAGAAAGCCGCCGATCCCCTAAGCCACCTAAGCCCTTGAACGTCTGGAAAACCGGAAGTGCATGAATCGCATCGGTGCTGCGTGCCTGGGCTCCCCAAGTCTTCGAAGCAACCCGCTGCAGCAAGACTCCCTGACCCAAAAGCATCGTTCACAGCACAGGAAGCCTTATAATAAAAGCTATATAGTTCTGTTAACTTCTGGGGTTTCGATGATGAAAAGTAGGGTGTAATGAGGGCTGCTCGTTTGGGGTCTTAAAGTGGAGCTATTCTAGATTAGGCCATTACTCCAAACAAGACGGGGCACGACATCACAACAACGCACCGGCCACAGTTCCGATTGATGCTGTTTCATTGGAACACCACTAGGCTGATACTAAGCTCATGCCCATGCCTCGGCTCATACTAGCACATATACTCTCACACGAGTGCGACCGACCAATTATCATGGGAGTGTAACCGATATGCACACAGCAGCTGTCGAAAGGGGCAAAGCTTATCGGATATTGTAGGAAAAATACCAAATGCTCCGCCCTCCCCCCCCACCCCACCAAGTGTGCGACATGAGGGGCGACAGCGAAGCATGTTGGACTCCGCTGTTGGTCAGGAAAGTGAGGGGCTGATCGGATTCAGCGGGTGCCCTAGCACCAGAAGGTTCTTCTCCAGCTCCCCCGGGCTCTTTCCCGATGGGACGATTCCTGTAGGGGCCTTGATAATTAGAACA